TCTATAATACTCTCTGTCTGACAACAAGGCAATTCATATTCCTGTGACGATGGTCAGAGGGAATTCACTGGAGGCTTACTTTATGTGTGGGCGCTGTAAATGGATTGGGCTCCCACTGTCATCCATAGCCTTCTGCAAACTAGGTGTTCACAATGTAATCTCTGATGCAGTTCCTGCCTTCGGTTTGGATTATATTACTTACAGTCTTTGGATCAAACAAGCAGGTGTGCTTCTTCCATGTGAACTTAGTTGACACGTCACTTAGCTGGCTGCCTGTTTGAAGACATGACTTTAAGACCCCAGACGCTATTCTTTCAGATAGCTGGGCATCATCTAGTGCCTTCAGCACACTTTGCTGTGGCGCTCAATATTCAGTGATCACTTCGCGAGGGCGAGTATTAATAGGCAGGCACTGTCTTGATTCATCTCATCGAGGGTCTTCCTGTTTTCACTGATTTCTTTATGAAGCATGATGTCCTTTTTCAAGAACTGGTTTCTCCAGAAAGCAGGTTTGTTTAGTCTTCTGTCAGTCCATGGTACTTTCTATATATATATATTTTTTACTAGCTATAATTTGAATGCATCAATTGTTCTCTGATATTCTTTGTTCGTTGTTTCATAGAGTACAGCCTAGGAAACCCTATGGGGCAGTTCTATTCTATCCTATGGAGTTACTGTGTGTTAGGATTGACCTTATGGCACTGGGCTTGGTTTTGGGATGAGATCTTATGATGATTTAGAAATGGCTCCGGCAGTACAGCAAAGACATCAAAAAATGCTTCTCCTGCTTGTGATAATTGCAAAACCAAGATGTAATTATTTAATGTAATACATTCTTCTCTATATTCATTCTAATTTTATACCAAAAACTAATGAGTTACTAAGAATCCCTGATGGCACAGTGGCTGCGGTGATCAATTGATGACCAGAAGATCCTCATTTCAAACCTACCAGCCACCCTATGGGAGAAAGATGTGGCAGTCAGCGTCCATAAGGATTTACAGCTTTAGAGATCCTGTGAGGAGCTCTACTCTGTCCTATAGGGACACTGTAAGCTGGAATGGACTGGCAGTGGCTTTTGGTTCTGGCTATATATGCTTAATTATGACATAATTAAAGAAAATTTGGGAGATTATAAAAAGTCAAGATATCATGTTATTTTTATCTACAATTTATAATACTATATTAAGTTATCGTTGTTGTTTTTGAGTGTTGTCGCAGCAGTTTTGAGTCATAGCAACTTGTGTACAACAGAACACTGTCTGGTCTTGTGCCATCTTCAGAATCAGTGCAATGTTTGAGCCCTTATTTCAGCCAGGTGTTAACCCATTGCCTCGGGCTCTTCCTTCTCTTGGCTGACCCTCTCCTTTACCAAGCATGATGCCCTGCTGTGGGGAATGGTCTCTTCTGGGAACGTATCTAAAGCATGAGAAGGAAATCTCCCCATTCTTAGTCCCAAAGATGATTAAGGCTGTACTTTGTGCATTCTCTGCCAGTCTTTAGTGAGGCCATGTTCTTCGCTTGTAAGTGATATGAGGCATTTGATAGTTTCTAACAGTTTAGTGAGTAATGAAAGCATTGGTCATTTAAAGCAATGTTCTCTGTGTCACAAGTAGGGCTTCACCTAGAGAAGCAGTGCTTAGTGGGTTTTGGGGTTTTTTTTTGTTTTGTTTTTTTAAATCATTTTATTGGGGGTGCTTACAGATATTATAACAATCCATAAATCAGTTTTAGCAAGCAAGCTTATACATATGTTGGCATCATCATTTTCAAAACATTATCTTTCTACTTGAGCCCTTGGTATCAGCTCATCTTTTTTCCCTCCCTCCCCTACCTTCCCACCCTCTTGAACCCTTGATAGATTAGATATATACCTGTGCTTAGTTTTCGACCAGTGATAATCACAGATCTTATCTAATCCTGTCTGCCAAACCTCCTCTTTTATTAACGTGCCCATTTAAAATGTTTTTCTTCTTCACTCACCTTTTCATTCAGCATCTTTCTTTAAAAATTACTAAATCTGTAACAAAGTTATGTTAAAGATATTCTGAAATAAAAATGATATTCAATAATATTGAAAAAATGTCCCCCCTAACTTTAGGATGGCTCTTCTGTCTTGCTTGCATTTGCCTGTGAGACATGTCTTACAGCTGCCTCGTCACTGCTGTTTCCAGTCATGAACTTGTTTGCACTCCAGAGCCTCAGTCTAACCCTTTTGCTCCTTCCCAGCCTGGGCCAAGAGAAGAGGGTGTCTGTGGTCTCATTGCTTCAGGAGTGGTGTCAGTCAATATATTCCTCAGGCTCCCCCTGTTAGGGTCAGATGCAGTTTAAAAAAATTTATGGAACCCCTGCTACATTCATAGTGAAGCCTGGGTGAAGACAGATCAGGTTGGAACTGGACATGAGACCATTCTCAGATTTGTTTCTGGATTCTAGACTTAAGAGCCATGATCTTGTTAGTAGAATATTTTACTAAGCCTCAGGTTCAGTTAAGGCAGCTCCGCTTGGCTTGGTTAAGTGACATGTTTCTGGCTCATGTGGTCACGTGAATGACCATATAGGCTCCCTCGGACAAGAAGACCAACTGTGAGGGGAGAGTAAAGTGGCATAGAATGCCAGCGTGTTCAGGGCGATTCAGAGAAGGATGACACAGCATGGCCAGAGCCTTGGGCACGAGGAGGCACGTCACTCCAGAACTGCCTTCCCACGTCAAAGTTGGCAGAATGTGAAGTCAAACAGCTCAGGAGGAGTTAATGTGAGGAAAGAGAGAAGACCTGAGAAAGGGAAAAGTGTATTCATTTACCCATAGTGCACACAGTATTGAAAGAAGCCATGGTTGAGCCCTGGTGCCGTAGTGGCTTACCAGTTGACCTCAAGGTCAGGAGTTCAAACTCACTGGCTGCTCTGCAGGAGAAAGATGAGGCTTTTTTCTCTCATAAAGATTTACAATCATGGGAATCCAGAAGAAGCAGTTCGCCTCTGTCTAATCGGGTCTTTGTGATGGACTCTATGGTAGTGAGAGTGTGCTTGTGTTAACTGATTTTAGAACAGTCTGAATAAAGGAAGGCTTATAGAAAAAAAACAGACCATGAGACACACCGAGATTGTTCTGTAGGAGCGATTAGCGATGCTGAAGGGGTAGTTTTCTTCAGTTATTTAGATACCATGGAAGAAAGTGAAAATGAGTGTGGGATAGTTTATGCTTCATGTGGAATATAGAGCAAATCTTGACTGGGGTTTGAGGTGGTATGTATCCACGCATCTTCAAATAACAGCCATTCTGGTTATGTAGAGCCTTTTGTGGAGACTGGCCTGCTGGTCAGAGATGTAGTGATGTGTGGCTCACGACATACTCCATGATGAAGTGACTGGGTGACAGGAAATGACTTGAAGCTAGAGAGACCATTCATCAGAAATTGCGTGCAAGGAGACCGGGTTAAACCAGCTGCTGAAAGCAGGGGGAGTTATCTGCTGTAACAGGCAATTACCGTAGATCTGCAGAGCATTGGAACTACCTGGCTCGCAGAGAAGGGGCTCTCTGTAGGATACTGGGCAGAAAGAGCACCTGAAAGCTCATAAAAAGTATATGTGGGTGTCTTTTGGGCCAAGTTCACCTGGAGAAGGAAGAAAAGTCGGGGAAAGCATCTAGCCTTAGAGTCCTGAGAGAGGGAAGCAGGACGGGGACAGACCCAAAGGCAAATGGAGTTACTAGGAATGACCACACATTTAAAAGGGGCATATTTTTGATGTTTCGGTTCCTTCCCAAGGACCCCATTTTAAATTGGAAAATAACATATTGCTTGTTTCCTTTGGCTTAGCTTAACTCTAGGGAGAGCAGACATCCTGGGGGGTATTGTCTTTTGTGTTCATGAATGCTAAGAAGGAAGGTGCATGAGGTATATTTTGAAGACTTCACAGCATGGGTCCCCGCCTACTTGCGCATAATTCCATGAGTCTGCTTGTGTGGAGATGCTGTCCTGCCTAGCACACGGGGAAGGAGCTTGCTCCCTGCCGCCAACTGAAGGCTGTGAATCAATATCTACACCTACCCTGTGCTGGGTTCCCCAGAAAGAAAGTGTGTGGGCGAGTAGAGGCCCAATCTTGGGCTTCCTGATCTGCCCTTTATACAGTTCTCTTCTTCCCACTTAGCGTAGTCACCATGTGAGCCTAGCTGGCTGGTTCTAGGTACCTATCTTGCTTCACTTATTCCTACTCATCCTCCTTGTAAAGATTCACATTTGTTTTGGGCATGCTGGTTCCACAACCTGGAAATTGTCCTCTGACTCTTAGGCCAGATCCTGCCTGGATTGTGTTCTTGTGCTCACATCCTTCTACTTAACACGTAGATAGATGTTCGTGGTAAATCAAACTAGGACAACTGTGACAGAAGTGAACTTCGGGAAAAGGGTAGGGCCAGCACTTTTACCCTGAGAACTTTCACAAATATTCTTTTTCCTTGGGAAATCCACACTTTGCTCTTCCCTATTATTTCAAGAAGTGCAGGCGTCCTCAAACTATGGCCCGCGGGTCACATGCGGCCCTCCGAGGACATTTATCCGGCCCGCTGGGTGTTTTTGTCGTGTTTGTTTTTTAACTTCAAAATGAGATATGTGCAGTGTGCATAGGAATTTGTTCATAATTTTTTTTTAAACTATAGTCCAGCCCTCCAACGGGTCTGAGGGACAGTGAACTGGCCCCCTGTTTAAAAAGTTTGAGGACCCCTGCCTAGTGTAAGATAAAAAGCAAAGGTACCTACAACAGTAGTGATAACTGACCAAATAGGAAGTTCTGAATAAAATTTTAGAAAATTGATTCTTTTTTTTAGAATTTTAATGATAATCGTGACGTATCCTAAGATAAAATAGTTTAAGTATTTCTAACTTCATTTTCTAGTAAACCTCAGCCAGAAGTACAGAATGTCAGATTTTTTTTCCTTTGTGTCATAAATCTAAAATCTTTGCAAATTCACTGATCTGTGAGGTTTCTATCTGAGGTGGCTTCAAAAAGTTCAGGAGAAATTAAGTTAAAAGAAAATTTGCTCCAACTGCATTCAGGATCACCTTGGAAAGACTTTGACAGCTCAGGTCAATGAAGGGTCTGCAGCTGCCACCCGCCTTGCCTGTCACACACAGTCTCCAGGGTCTGGACAAGGAAGCCTCCTGCCCAAGTCCAGGTTTCCCTCAGCTTCCGCGAAGATCTGGCTGGTAAAACAGCCTTGAAATGTGACGCAGCACAAAAGATCTAGAGGTTTGAGCATGGAAACACTAAGGGAAGGAAGAACTTCAAGCAGGCTATTTCGTGTGCAGCAGGAAAATTTAAATGTACCTGGTTTAATACATAAAAAGACTTGTGGGGGGAAAAGAAAAGTTCATTGAAACCCTCATACATAAATGAATCCAAATCAGTGGTTTGAGGAGGAGATGTAGCGTATTTGAGGAGTGTGATGGCTTTATTCATATAACCTTGTGCTATGTTTATTGGCGGTAGAAACTGATAGGCTGCTATTTAGAAAACTGAAAATCAATATAAGTTGAAGATGGTAGATAGACAAGTTGCGCTTGATATGTTCCTTACACAGACACAAATGTTAATGCCTAACAAAGAAATGGATTGTGAATTTCAAATCTAGAGTTTCCGAGAGGAAAAGTCCATTTGAACTTGATAATTGCAGAGTATAAGAATGAGGGTATAAAGATTGCTCAGGGGACTTTGGCAAGTTGAGCAAATAAGCCACATTTCAAGAATGCTCACAGAAAAGTGCTCCAACAGTGTCATGGAGATAAGGCCCAAGTAACACTAAACGGAAGCATTGGATTACCTGAAGTAATTTTTATTCTTTTTCATGAAGGATGACATCAAATTTACTTAAATGGAGAAAGATTTTGTTATAACACAAAGTAATCAAAGAACCTGTGTTACCCAGTCACTGCCGTCCATCCATTGAAAGGAACTACATTGTTCACATTAAATCTTTGAATTATCAATATGCAGCTCATTAAATGCAAAAGTAGCAGTAAACACAGTCTGTGTGTCTAATACTGAATGCGGAGCCCTTCCCTAAATAATTAAATTGTGTAGTAAGGATTTAAATAAGTATTTTGAAAAGGAAAATTAAAATAGCAGTACTTGGTAATCAGAATGCTTCAAATGATAGTCCATAAAAACTCCAAATCACTTTGATCAAGACATCGTTTAACTACACCCATCCATAGTTTTCTTTTGTTTCTCCAAACCATTTTAGTAGGAGCGAATCCAAACAGCATATCATTCCATAGTTCAATCCCATCAAGCAGTATTGTCTAATTGCTACCGCAATCAGTTTCAAAACATTTTCTTCCTTCTTGAACTTGACATCAGCTCCCCCACCCCCACCTCTCCCACTGTAAACCCCCAGGAGCCCTTATTCTCATTCTTGTCTCTTTGGTTCATCGATCCTGAGTTTCATATACCAAGAACCAGACAAACAAATCACAAAGATTCAAGAAGGCTACCCACAATGGCAAAGTATATGCGCAATAAACCTCAGCATGAAAAAAACACACAGAAAATATTGAAAACCAGATCTAGTGCAGAGGGCTCTCCCACGGGGAGAGCAAGTGATGAGATTTTCACCGTTCAAGTCAGATTCATCATTTTGGTCCACTGCAGTCATCGCCCAGTACTCTCTGTTTGGTAGCCAGTGTCTTCCCATCCCTGAACTCTGGTTAGAGGGAAATCCCTGGAGACTTAGACCCTGTGTAGATCTTGCAGACATCTATTTTGGGCTTCCACTGCCATGCAGAGCCTTCTGCAAACCAGCATCTCACAATTTAAGCTCTGATACTATCCCCTCCTTTGGCTTTGGATTATATAATTTACAACCCTTGAGTCACAGATGTTGGCGTTCTTCCATGTGCACTTTGGTGACATCTCACGTCAATGGCTGCTTGTTTGGAAACAAGCCTTTAAGACCCCAGACGCTATGCTATTGAATAGCCACGCGTCATCTCCTTTCTGTACCACACTTTGTTCCGGCACCCAAACCTTCTGTACTTCCTTCGTGAGGGCGAGTATCAGGGCCATGTTGTAAGAACTAATTGTGCTTAGATTGGAACCAGGGTTAAGGGCGAATGAATAAATTTTGGAAGTTAGTATCAGCAGTGTCACAAGGGGAAGACTTACAAAACCCCAAAGGCAGAATTCTAGGAGAAAGAATAAGATTACATAAAACTTGGAAATAAGTCTAGGAAAAGTTGAGAGTAAAATAAAACAATAGGCTCTCTGGAAAAATTTCCTTGTAAAACAGTACAATACGTGAATTTATTTAAATAACTGAATTGTTTAGATATAATGCGCAGGCCTTTAAAACGTTTATAGAAAAATTCTACTGTCTTTAAAAAATAGTAACAAATTTTATTCTGAAAGAATAGTTAAATTTAAAGAACCTTTATATTTAAATGAACAATGGTTAACATTGAAGCAGAAATTTTATTATGTAAAACTTGATACTTCATTACTGGGACAATGTGTAGTTTTTAAAAAGCTGTCAAGTGCCAAAGTAATTGAGAGCACAAGAAAATATACAAATGATTATTATCCATGCATGTCATTGATAACCTCACTACAGGTTCATACTTGACCCTCTGAAGTTTTATCTTCTTTACATTTATATTCTCAACATACAGCACAATGGATAGCATAAATTAAATACTAAAACTACCTGTGGAAGTAATGAAAACAACTAATCATCTCGTATTCTGAAGTTCTATCATATAAAAATCATTAAGTGATAAAACTTGGCAAGAAAATAAAGGAGATATTGAGAGTGAACTACCAATAATCTCATTTACCAAATAGGCAATAAGCAACATACTCTAGGTGAAACAACACATCAACATGCAAGCATTTCCTAAATTTGTTTAGGTCATGGAAACAATAGCTAATAAGACCATACTGGGAACATACAGGAAAAATTTTAGTGTCTTAATCCCATTTTCCATGAACTCCTTGAAGCCCCCTTGTACATGATCACTACTCTGATGTATTTATTGAGTTAAATGTGTTTGCCTTATAGTAGTTTAACAATCTGTAGAGTTTCATTTAGCAGATCTACATGTGTGTAATTTGTGTGTATGTATGTGCATATTAATCTATGCATGTGTATATATAAATAGTATGGATGAGACTATTGAAATGCTGTCTTCTATCATGGTGATTACCAACTAAAGGGGAACATGTGAATTTAAAAGGATGTCGACAAGATTGAAACAATGAATACTGACTATCGAGAAATGAATAAACAAACTCTGGTACGTTCATACAATGGAATATTAAACATCCTTAAAAAAGAGTGAAAAGTCTGTCTAAAACCTTAAGACCTGGACAAAGTTAGAGAACATTATGCTCAAACTCATAAAGGTAAATATCTTATGACATTATTATTATAAAGGGAATAAAAGAAAAAGACCAATGGTTTTCACCTTAAGGAGAAGACTTTAAAGACTACAATAAGACCAGGGTGGTGAGGAGAGGGAAGGGACATGAAATAAGGAAGGAAAAAGAAAAATAAATAAGTAAAGAGATCTAGAAACATTGGAGGGTGTAGATCTACAAGATCTAATACAGAAAAATGTGTTCTATGCAAGCATATTACACTAAGAATATGAAGACAGAAGATAAAAAGAAACATGTAAGACGTCTTAATCATGCAAAATTGCCAGTGAAAATTAGTAATATAATTCAGATCAGGTTAGCCTGAGGAATATATCCTTTTTTTTTTTACTTAAGAAAATGGTCATGCCCTAAGGGTGGATGTAGGGAGGAAGAAGGCTGTGTGAAAGGAGTGAGGTTCCCAGATCAGCAGCCTAGCATCTCCGGAGCCCAGGTTAGAAATGTAGAACGCAGTGTACCACTAACTGACTGGATCAGGTGTGCATTTACCATGAATACTCAGGGATACCAGTGCTGAGGCAGTTTGAGAGCACTGTTCTTAAAGGGCAGTTGGATTGGTGAACAAAGTTTTGGAAGGATATTTTAAATCCTTAGGATTAAGGAGGGGATGAACAGTGAAAAGTTCTATAAAGTAGACACAAGTTCTAAATAGTTCCTGGAAACTAAGACATTAACACATAGTTACGGTATTGAACGCTTTAGAAAGAAAACCAAAAATTGGTTGCTTGCTACAACAAGTGAATAACAGATTATTACAAGAGGAAGAAGCACAGACACGTATGCATGAAGGTGAATCAAAAAGTATTGCTACAAAATCACGGAGCTCTTTATTAAACAAGAATATGAAAATGTGAAGCTATTGTTTTTCGACATGTCATCTGTCTTGGGCTGTACTTTTCTGACGTCAAGGTTCCCATCTGTCTAACCCTTCCCCAGAGAATTCTGTGCTCTTTGATTTATACCACTTCAAAATAGCAAATTGTGCTTCTTTTAAATGTTGTTTGAGTTTGAGTTTGAGGATGAAAAGAAGTCTGAAGGGACAAGATCAGGGCTGCTGTATGGATAGAGTAAGATTTTCCATGGAAATTATTTTAGGACATTCCTTACTACCTTGAAGAATGAGCAGGTGCATTGTTGGGGGGGAAAATAAAATGTCTTCTTAATAAGCTCCTACAGTTGTCCTTGTCCCACACGAAATCCTATCAAGATGACCCCATTGAGGGTCCTAGAAAACAGTTGCTATAACCTTCTAAGCCAGTGGTTCTCAACCTGTGGGTCGTGACCCCTTTGGGGGTTGAAGGACACTTTCACAGAGGTCGCCCGATTTGTAACAGTAGCAAAATGGCAGTGATGAAGTAGCAACGAAAATAATTTTATGGTTGCGGGGGAGGTGTCACCACAACATGAGGAACTGTATTAAAGGGTCACTGCACTAGGAAGGTTGAGAACCACTGTTCTAAGCGAACCTGTGTCCCTTGAATTTAACTGGCCAAGTAGATCCCCTCAGAAGCCACTTCTTTGTTTGGACTTTTTATTTTTATTTTTGAAGACGTCCTAACCAGACTGGTGGGATAAGCATTGGATAGGCATTCATCAGTTCAAGCCTACCAATTGCTCCATGGGAGAAAGATGAGACTGCTCCTATAAAGGAACCCCACTAAGCAGTTCTACTCTGTCCGTGTAAGTCAGAACTGACT